ATGACCTGGGCCACCGTGCACCTGTGCTCCACCTGCAGCACCACCAGGGCGCTCGCAGGAAGTGCACACGTCCTGGACCTCTGCCAGATCTGTTCAGTGGTTGTGGGCGGGGCCCCAGAGCTGATGTGAAGCTTGGGAATTTGAGAGTCCCTGCTGTGGGGACTCCTGATCCTAAGCAGTGAGCTCCATGCCTCTGCTATATGGGACAGTGGGCACAACAGAGCTACACACCAAGATCCTACAGAGGCCTGAGAAGCCATCAGATCCATCCATTTTCCTAGCCTAGAGACAAGGTTTAGGTCAGGACTGGTGCATCAGGGTTTTCTGTAGAGCACAAAGCCACTTAATGAGAGATTTATAAGCAAAACTTTGAAATACAGCGGCTCTACTCTATGCTCTGAAGCCCCGTCGACCCGCCCCCCAGGGTGACCACACACCATCAAGCTGATTGATTTTTGGAGTGGCTTAGCATTTCCATTGATTATGAAAATGCAAGGAGCCGGCAAAAGCCGGGATATTCAACAATCAATTTTGCGATTCCCTGTTGATTAATGACCAACAGTGGTCTAGAGAGCACTCGGAGGAGGGGAAGGTGTATAGAGATCTGCCCGAAACACAACCAGCAATGATGGCTGTTGGGAGCGGACCCCATCTGCCTTACCAGGTGCCTCCGGTGCCAAATAATGTGAATCTTCCACACAGGTGGCTCCCAGGCTACCTACTGACTGCTGTCTGGACCAGACTGGAAACAGGAAAGAAAAGGCAACAGCAAAGACGCCCGTGTTTTTCCCTATTAATTGCATGTTTCTTCCTCTAATGCCAGACTGTCTCACCCATTTAAAACTCCTGTTTGTTTTTGCAGGCATTTACAGAGACACAGAAGAAAAGATTGTTGTCATGGAAACAGCAGGTACAGAAACTCTTCCGGTCCTTCCCTCGGAAAACCCTGCTGGACATATCAGGATATCGACAGCAAAGAAAGTACGTTGGGATCTCTTCCTTGGGGACGAACGCTGGTTCCCCAATACCTCACCTGTCCGCCCTGTTTCCTGGGGCAGGGAGATGACCAAGGGGACATCATTCTTGTTCATGAGGATGCCCCGTGGCCAGTTCTGTAGCACATCCTTATACGGTGGGGCTGGGAAAGGTTCTCGGGGAGTGGATTCCCTGAGGGAGAGCTACATGTGGGTGTGGGTAACTCAGTTTGCATTGTCAGAATGATCCATTCAGGGGAGGGAGGTGAGTGTGAGTTCGTGGATGTCAGCAGAACGTGGGGTCCTGGCTCACCCAAGGGGGTTCTGGGAGGACAAAGCTGGGCTTTTCCATCAGCACCTTAAGTGGTAGTGTAATTGTTTTCTCCCCTCTAGCTGCAGACGAGCTAATTATAGTTGGTGGCAGGGTGAAGAGCCCAGTGCTGGTCTATTTTGGTCTGAGCCACGCGGTCTAAGAGTAGAGCAGTACCATTCTTGATTTTTCATAGTACTTCAGCTTCTCGGCTGTGGTTAAAAATAAGCCTGCTTGTACCAAGAACCCGTTCCCTTCCTATGACTTTAAATTGAGGAATCCAGTTGCATTCGAAAGGTGACTGCAGATTGTGAGGAGAGACCAGGCTGGGGAGTTGACGAGGCAACAGGGAGTCATGGGGGGAAGGGAAGCAAATCCCCTGAAAATAAGCCACATTCATTTTTCATTTTTCATTTTAAAACCTAAGCAGATAAAAACTTCTTCACTCGCACCTCACAGGTTCTGAAATCATTTCTCAGTGCATATGTAGAAGATCTGCTATTAAAATTGGAGGCTTTCATTTGCATATGTATGCCTTAAGACATCACTGTTTTGTATTATTTAAAGGCGATAAGACCAGCTGGAGTTTGTAAAAAGTCACCATGAAAGATTTATTTAAAAATTAGTGTTATCATGTTGGCAACTGTTATTTATTCAACAAACATTTATTTAGCACGTACTGCATGCCAGATGACACCCAAGCATTTCAGAGCAACTTCAGCCCTGGGACAACCCTGTGAGAGGGAGCTGGTGTACATGCCCTCAGTCTACAGATGGGGTGGGGGGCAGCGGTCACAGGTCAGTGACAGCCCTGGACAGAGGCTCCTCGTCACAGTGGAGCTACACTGACGACCCCAGGCAGGTGAGCAGGAAGAGCAGTTCGAGCAAAGGTAGAGCCGGGACCCTGGCCCAAGTCCTCCAGGACCACCACCGCCGTGAGGATGCTCGGGGCTCAGATGAAAGGCGAGGCTGTACTCAGCCTCCTGGCCGCATCCCCGTGCTCTCCTTCCTCCTCAATGCAATGCTGTGTGGTCCACACAAGGGAAAGAGGTACCAGCACTGTAGCCCCAGGCCCTGGGGAAGCGAGGTGCAAAAGAAGACTGAAGTCAAAGACAGCACTTGGAAACTCTTTGCTGCTGCTGCTCCTCATCCTCCTCCTCAAAGTTCCGAACTTTGGTTCTGTCAGCCCTGCATGTCCTTAAGCCACGCAGAGAGCCCTGCTTGGGGGTTGTGTGGGTAAGTCGCCCAGAACTCTCCAGGGCAGCATCAGCTGTGGCTTGGGCTGGGCTCACCATGGGGCTCCCAGTCGGAATCCTGAAGCTCACTATTGACAACAAATGGATTCAGTCACTGGTTGCAGTGTTCAGCTGGATGTCGTCAGCACCTTGGAAATCGTTCTCCTATGTATTTCCCCTGGGATCTTTTTGTGCTATTAATTTGCTTTGAAAGACTCATTTCTCCAATAATGCAAAGGTAACTGCAGCCCAGCCCCTGCTTGAGTGACTGCAAATCCCAAATTAATTGCTTCTTATTAATGTTGTTCTATCAAAGAGTTTTCATGCACTGCAAGGTAATGGACTCCGTTCATGCACAGCACAGGAGAATGAGAAGGGAACTTGCTCCGTCACTCTGTTTCCTCCGGGGAAAGCATGATTATGTCATTAAGTTTAGTGATCTTAGGAAACCGAGGCCAAACTCATGCCAAGTGCTTAGGGATTCTCAGCAACTCACACCCTGACCCCAGAACGCCCTGCTTCCATCCCCAGAAGCTAAACCCAATTCTTAGAATCCTAGGGTCCCTCATTACCCCGGTGACCAGCCTAGCACAGAATACCCTACACTTTATGTTGTTCAAGAATATATCAGACATGGCGGCACACACCTGTAATTCTAGCGCTTGAGAGGCTGAGGCAGGAGGAGCTCTGTGAGTTCAAGGCCAGCCTGAACTACATAGCAAGATCCTGTCTCAAAAAAAAAAAAGCAAAACAGCCTTTGTGGAAGCAAACACCCTTTTAGCAACACTCATTGACTGCTGTGTTTTGCATATGAAATAACATTTTAAAAATCCAACCAAAACACAAAGTGAGAAAAAAGCTATCCATGCTAAATAAGGAAAGATCTTAGGGGAGTACTGAATCAGCTACCAGGTGGCCAAACTCCTGACTCCACAAACCTGCAGGTTGATCCTCAGGGCTCCTGCACCACACCCCCACTGTCGTCCCTGTTGCCACCTGAGACCTCTCCGAACGTCCTCCCTCCAGAGGAATCTGTGACCACTGAAATCACTTCTCCCTCACCTGGCCCTCATGTCTCATGTCACACCAAAACCGTGCAACCTCTGTGAAGAGATGGAAAGGCGGTGAGCAGAGAGGAGCCGCCGCACACCGAGACCGAGCACCTGTGGAGGCGAGCTTAGGCACGAGTGCGGGAGTTTCCTTGGCCCCCAAAGCCTGAAGTGCAAAGACACACTGGCATTCTCTTCTCTGCCCCGCTTTTCTCCTAGGAAATTTAGGAATTCTGGGGAGAAAAGAAACATTTGCTGAGCTCCAATGCCCTTTCCCGGCACAGGTCCGTGAACCCTCTCCTGCCCAGGAAGTGACCGCTCCTCCGCAGGCAGGCCGCGGGCCCTGGGAGCTCCACGCACAGCTACGTCACTGTCTGCGGACCCGCTGGGCCTGTGGGAGCTGCGTGCAGCAGGCACCCGGTCTGCTCCATCTAGCGGCGGCCGGCAGGAGTGCAGCCCAAACCCCAGAGTGACTAAAGCTGACTCTTTTGGAAAGAATGTGCTGGTTCCTGAAACCCCGCTGGCCTGCAGCCTCCCAGAAGCAGGCCTGGTGGAGAAGCCGAGTTCTTGAGCGCTGAGCTCACTGGGCCTGGTCAGGGGAGTGTGCAGCCGCCTCAGCCCTGTGAGGCCCCTCTGCAGGGAGGGCCTGGCGTGGGGGACAGGCGTGCCCAGCTCTGGCAAACACCATCGTCTGCTGTCCCCAGGACAGGCCCGTTACCTCTCTGGACAGCGTCATGGTGGTAGAGACTACTCGTGCGTTGGCTCATCTGTCAGAGGCTGCAGTCACCCAGCAGGAGTAGAACTGGCTATGGGCCACCCAGCATGGAGGCAACGCTGGGGCCACAAAGACCTCTCCTCCCATCCACCACACGGGAGTCAGAGATGGACCATGGCCCTGAGAGGCCACCTGACCCAGTGCTGGTCCCAGCTTGCTGCTGTCTCTGCTGAGGGCTCTCAAAGGGCACCCTGCCCTCACCACACACAGCACGATAGGAGGGACCAGCAGGGACAGCCGCCTGTGACAGCTGTGGACGCAAGCAGTGAGGCTGGCCGTTTAGCCTGCTGGGCACCTGTCCCGGGTTGCCCCCTGCTGGTGGCGTAGCCTTAGCAAAATTATTAAGCTCTGTTTCTCTTCTCTAGCTGATCGAAGACAACAGTAAATATTTACACATTTTTTTTAATTACAGAAAAAAATATGAAACACTCTCAAAATCCTTCCCTTGTTTCAAACACATTCATCCCATTGTTCCACCACCTTCTGCAGCCCCTCTGCAGTCCTCTTTCCCGAGTGTCCTTAGTTGTGCTGTCCTGGCCACCTCTGTGTCCTGAATCCACTCAGAAAGCTTCCCTTTCCTGCTCATTTTGACTTTGGGGCAGAGCTGGAAGTAGCATTGGCACCAGATCCGGCGAGCAGGGTGGACAAGGACACAGTGTCATGTCATTTGCCAAAGATTGCTGTAATCGGTTGACCAATGAAGAAATAATGAATGAACTTTAAAATGTATTACACCAAAAGATAATGCATCCTTTGGCAACACCTTTTTGCACGATCAGGGTGTTTTCGGTGTAGGTGTTCACTGTACTTTCTGATCACCCTTGTCTACCCTCTGGCTGAGATCTGGGGCTGGGCTGGGCTGGGCTGGGCTCTGTGTAGCCACCACTCCCGACTGTACCTGGCGCAGGGGTCCCAGAAACACTGACGTCTCTGTTCTGTGTCCTCTTGCAGCCGTGGCTTTGGGCAGTCCAACTCCCTCCCGACGGCTGGCTCTGTGGGTGGCAGCATGGGCCGCCGGAACCCACGTCAGTACCAGATCCCGTCCCGGAACGTCCCCTCTGCCCGTCTGGGCCTCCTCGGCACCAGCGGATTCGTCAGCTCCAACCAGCGCCACACCACAACCAACCCCACCATCATGAAACAAGGAAGACAGGTTGGTTCAGTCCCCAGGGGCCGCTAAGGTGACCGAGCCTTCAGGCCCTCTCCCCAGATGACCCCAAGGTGAGGGACAGCTGTTTGTGGTGTTTCGACATGGCTGTGCCTGGGACATGCTACAGCATGCAAGACCTGTCCCTTCTTTGCTTTGACCCCTGGTACCCCCAACAGACTTCATGCATCCCAGATCTGAGTACCAGACAGGCCTCTAAACATCTAAGGAGCTCACTTTTTGTTCTTTTGCAGTACTGGTCAGTGAACCTGGACCTTCATAGCAAGCTCCATCCTGACATCGCTAGCACTTCTTTATTTTTTATTTTGAGACAGGGTCTTGTTAAGTTGGCCAGGCTGGGCTGGAACTTGGAATCCTCCTCCTGCCTCAGCCCCCCAGAATGCTGGGATCCCAGGCATGCACCACCACACCTGGCTTCTTTTCCTTTTCATCTGAGACAAATAGCTCTCTGGTTGAAGTAGTCCACTGTGAGTGAGAAAGCTTGGGGGCGGGGGAGGCTAAGAGGCCATCTGGGAGAGAGGCCATGTCCCCAGCCACTCACGGTCAGGCCAGAGCTGGCCTCACTATCCCATGGCCCTGCTGGCTGGCTCTGATATTGTGAGATGCAGAGCGTCATCTGAGGCTCAGGGTTCTCATGGGAAACTAGAACTGAGGAGTCACCCTGAAACCAGGAAGACCACTCCAGGAGGACCGGTGGATCTCCCCTCTGGGGGACACAACTCTGAAAGTCCTTAGGTCAGTGCAAGCGGAAGTCACTGGGCCAGCTCAGAAAACCCCACAAGAGCCCTGAAACAGTCTGCACTGTTCAAGGCCTGCATTTTCCCCATGTCCCTACTTGCTAGGAAAGTGACAGGGAAGAGCAACATGCAGGATAGAGTTGTTCCAGAGAGCAGGACAAAGAGCGAGTGAACCAGGCCAGGGCCCAGCAAGGTGGGCACTGGGGCCAACCAGAGCCTGGGCCTCCAAGCTTCAGGAGGGGAGCCCGGGAGTCCTCCAGGGACCTCGGCTTCACAGCGCCTGCGGGGCCCTGCACCCCACCCCACCCCAGCATCTGGACTAGCAGCCCCTTTCTCCTCCTCCTCCTAGAATCTCTGGTTTGCCAACCCCGGCGGCAGCAACAGCATGCCCAGCCGCACGCACAGCTCCGTGCAGAGGACACGCTCACTGCCCGTGCACACGTCTCCGCAGAACATGCTGATGTTCCAGCAGCCAGGTACCCGCTGTGAGGCTTGCTCCCTGCCCTCTGGGCTTGCAGGTGGGGCTGGGACGGATGTCCACTGGTGCCCAAGGAAAGACTCAGCCTGCACTGTCACTCATTCCCCTCCTCTAAACTGAACCGCGTGTGGGGGCAGTACCAGAAGCCAGCACATGAATCCAAGGCCTATAATGAAATTGGGATAATTTTTTTGCTGCTCAATTTTCTAATTTGAGGACACCAAAGCGATCGCTCAAGAGTTCCCTGTCAGGTAGGTTTGGAGAGTGGGAGAGAGAGAACTTGTTCAAGTTGATACTGATCAGGGGTGGCCATGGAAGGCAGTGATTGGACAACTGTGATCACCACACCTCCCACAGCAGTTGGAACCACGCGCATGGCCACCAGCTCCCTGCAGGCAGTGGCCTCTTGAGCCACAGAGCAGTTGCCACACTTATCTGCGTGCCCTCCTCCTCCAACAGGAGGCCCCAAAGCAGAGATAAGTTGTTCCCACAGGGATGCCCGCCCCAGGCAGGTGGGGGCTTGCTGCCCTGTGAGATCCCAGGAAGGAAGGGGCCAGTAGCCCCAGTGGACAGGAAACTTGGCATTGAAACTACGTATCCAGAAGAGGTACGGGGATGGAAAGAGGCAGCAGGGTAGCAGGCGGCAGGAGCCCAGGGCCCAGCGACCAGAGCATTTCAGCACAAAGCCAAGGCAGCTGCAGGGACCAGGGAAGCTGTTCAGAGGCTCTGGAGATTCTGGGCCGGAAGTGCAGAGTGGTGGTCTGGGGACTGCCCCCGCCCCCACCGGTCCCACCCACACCCGCGGGGCAGAGGCCATTGCACAGTTAATTTTTAAAATGTTCTGCAGCGTAGTTGCCTCCATGTGTCTAAATACAGTCACTTTGCACTCAGGGACAGAGAATTCCAGAGCGCCTGGGGTTTTGTTTTCGAGCAGTGACTTTCTTAATCCTCATCAAGCCACCTCCAGCCAGGCCTGCACGCCCTGCAGCATTTCTAATAATGGCCCAAGTGCAGGGCCAAGGTGAGTTGAGGTTCCCAAGTGTGGATATCCTGTTGGTACCCTGGAGTCACCCCAAGTTCCACCCCATGCCCTCTGTCCCATGCTGGGCAGTGCCGCCTGGGATGTGGCCAGGCACGCCAGGACTCAGGACCCGAGAGAGAAGAGAGGCTGTGGAATTCTGTGCCAAGGACTTCCCCTCGCTTTGCTGCCCTTCGCTTTCATCCAGGCTGGCCGGTTATGCATGGTCATCAAGACCTGTGTCACCGTGTGAGCTTACTCTGCTTCCAGAAGCAGTGGCTTCCTTCACAGGGACAGAGCCTGCAACCTCCATGCCAGCCTCCGGCACATGAGACTTCCGGGGACTTGGGCCAGGCACTGTGAGTACCTACCTTATCAGAACGGCGGAGATTGGAAGCACGGAGTGGCCTTCATCTTTCTCAGAGGAGTCGCAGGAAGAAACAGCCGGCAAGATGGCTGTGGAGTCCGGTCACTGTAACCCTAGTGCTCAAGAGGCTGAAGCAAGAGGATCGCTCTAAGTTCCAGGCCAGCCTGGCTGCACAGTGAGTTTAAGACCAGCCTGAACAAGACCTTGTGTTAAAAAAAAAAAAGAAGAAGAAGGATTGCATGACCGATCCAAACTTAAATGCCAGGAAGCGGCCTTAGAGTAGAAGGTAGTGATTTTGCTCTCACTCTCGGATGCCATCAGAGCACTCATTTCAAATCACATGGCCAGTCTTGAAGATGAATGCTGTGGTTTGGGGCTTTTGCAAGGGGAACAATATAATAAAGAACACATTTTATAATATTAGCTTACAGGAAATCACCCAAGAATCACATACAAGTGCAGGAAATCTATCTACACACTAAATACTAAAGACTCCAGCTGAGGCCTGGATCCTGATATCCTGCATGAGTCCAGATGAAAACCTAGAGCTCAGAACAAGGCCGCGCACAAGTCTACCTGGAGGCCTGGAGCCCACAACAAAGTCTCATGCAGGCCCACTTCATGGATCTGTGCTGGAAACGCCCAAGGGTCAGTGGTGGAAGCTAGGAAATCTATGCCAGTGGGATAAAGGATCTGTGCTAGCAGGTGGAGGGATCTGAACTGGAGCCAGGAAGTGACACTCAAGGTAAGCACCAGGGCTCCCGTAGAAGTACCACAGCCATTCTCAGGAACAGAGAGGTTCTGAGTTCCTCCAGCGATGAGGAAAGCTGAGTTCCCATCAAGAAAGCCAATGCGACAAGCTTCTCCATGAGGCTGAGCAGCGCACCATCTTCTCCTCTGGAGCCAGGAAGTGAAGCTCATGATGAGGACCAGAGCTCCTCCAAAGTTCACCGGGAAAGCCAGCATGATGAGGTTCTCCAGCAGAACAGCCCAGGAGAGCTAGCAGCCCCCAACAGCTCCAACAGCTTCTCCAAACAGCATCCCTAACAGCGTTCTAACAGTGTCTCCTGTTCCGCCCTTTATGTTGCAGGTAGCAGCCCTCAGGTGGGCCGCCCGCACCCAGCCCCAGGCTAGGTTAATTGAGCTGGGTGTAACAAGCTGACCACCTGTTAGAAATCCACTACAGTGGCTGTGCATCCCAAGCAAGTGTTGCCACCTTCATGGAGGCCCTCAGCTTTCTCCAAGGAGTACAGGACACCCTGGGGACCTGAGCCACCTCCACTTGCTGACCAGGGATTGGTCACCTCCTCAGATTTCCCTCTTCTCACCTCTGCACAGCCTGAGTGCCCGTGGAGACTCCCCGGGTGGCTTTTCACTTTATTCCCAGCTGTGGAACGTCTACACCTCCAGAGCAAGGAGGGGAAGACCTGAGACACCCAGGAGGTGACCTGAGCTTGTAACAAGTGTGGAACCCAGCAAGAAGGAGCATCCCTGGCTGCAGAAGCCTCTGCAACTGCGTGGAGAGTGTCCCTTCTCTCAGAAGCAGCTCTGTCCCCTTGACCCAGGCACAGTTGCCCTGTGATGCAAGCAGAGAGGGTCTTGATGGCTCTGGCCTATACCAAGGCCACCAAGGCTCCTTGCCCTGCAGGGGGCAGATGGGGAAAGACAGCAAGGCAGGAGCAGGAGTCAAAGAAAGCCACCAGAAGGGTAGGTGGAAACTGCATCCTTCTGTGGCCCAGAGCCACGTGCAAAGCACTTTGGGTCCAAAGGCCTCCATATTGGAATGCAGCAAATGTGGGAGCACAGAGCTTGGGTGTGAGAGTACAATGCCTTTAGCAAGTGTGGGGCCTCCACAGACTTCCTGTACAGCTCTAGTAGTGTTCAGGAGGCCACCAGACAAGAGCTGCCCCCCATGGCCACTTCATGGGTACTGTGCATTGCTCTGAAAATTCTGTCCTGACCCTCTCTGGGATTGCAGAGAGGATTGCTTTCTTCCCTGTCACCCCCTCTCCCTCCCTCCCTGTCTCCCCTTCTTCCTTACTCATGTCATCATGGGCGTCCAGATCCCCGGCTCCTGCCGAGTCTCCCACCTTCCCAGTTTTCTCTCCTTCAGCCTTTCTGGTTATTCACCAGAGCAGAATCAGCGTCAGTGGCGAAGGGGGTTCTAAAAGTTTCCCCCTTAATGCCCTGGCCTGTCACTTGCCTTCAAGTCTTAAATAAATCTGCTCCTTACAGTCAGCTCCATCGCCTGGCAGAGGGCCCTGCTGAGCTGCACCTCGGTGCCGCAGATGTGACACAGCCTGACGGGGTGCCCGGTGTCTGCCAAGGATGAGTCCCATGGGCTCCTTGGGCAGCCCTGCAGTGACACCTCTTAGGGATAGGGAGCTTGTCGCGCCCAGAGTCCTCGCGACCCTGGGCCTGAGACTGGACCGGTGTGGACATGGGTGGCTTCTGAAAAGGCCCAGTTTAAAAGCCTCAAGTTGGCCTTTGCCCTGGGAATCCTTGCTGATCCTGGAGTGGTCTAATGGGGAGGAAAAGAAAATTCCCACTTGCCTTCATCATGTTCTTGTTGCTAAGACACAACCCTGACGCCCACAACGTGAAGAGGGTGGGGCCTTTTATCTCGGTCTTGCTTCACGGTTGGTCGGTGAGCTCCAGGGCAGATTCAGCCTGGCACAGGGGCCCAGAGAGGAAGGCTGCTCACATCACGGTGGCCAGGGGACAGGGAAGGGAGTCTCCTGGGAGGGATTTGCCCACCCCAGGGACCTACCTCTTCGGACCAGATCCAGACTCCGAACAGCAGGTCAGCTGTAAGCCCCCTAATCCAGGCACCCTCCCAAAGCCCCACCTACAAGCCTTACTGGGACATCCTTCATCCCAGTCCTACTGTCAGTACAGGCTGAATGCCGGGCATCCAAAAAGCTTGGGACCAGAGGGTTTCAGACATCAGTGCTTGGGATTTACATATATATATTATTATTATTTTTATCTTTTATTTAATAGCTTGGACTTGTAGTGGTCCCCCTGTTTTCAGCCTTCCCAGCACTGGGATTACAGGTGGTGTGTGCCACCAGGCCTGGTTTCTGGGGTTCCAGGGCCAGCATGGCATGTGGTACCAGGGGTCAGACATGGGTCCTTGTACTTGCTAGGCAGGTGCTTAGACCACCGAACTATCCCCCCAGCTCTGTATTTTGAAATATTTACCAATCAACCAAACCTAATCTGAAAATCTGAAACACTTCAAAATCTGGAAACTTCGGAGCATCGTGTCCGCACACACACAATTTCAGATCACAGATTGAAAGTTAGGGCCGCTCGGCCTGTACTCGGAGCTGCCGCATGAGCAGAAGAACCTGCCTGCCTTGACGCCAAGAGGAGGCCCCGGAACAAGGCTCTTCCCATTTGCCTCCCTGAGGGCTCACAGCTCTGTCTGCCTGGGCTGCTCCAGCCGGGGCTGAATTCGTGCAGGAGCCCTTGGGTGCAGCAATACCGACAGCGGAGGTGGCCCAGTACCTGGTGTGGGCCCACAGGCCAGGAGCTGCCCGAGGCCCTTCTGTGGCCTTGGCAAGGGCTTTGTGCACCACACCTGGTTGAGGTCCGCGGCCTGCGATGGGTGGAAGCCGCCAGCCTCCGGCTCATCTCCCTGTCTTCTGTGCGCGGCGAGATGCCATGGATCTGTTTTTATGAAATACAAATTAAAAAGTCACACTATTAGGAAAAACTCTGCAGTGGGAACATACGGGCTTCTCCCAAGAGTCGCACTTTCTCAGGCCGTTCAGAGAGTGGCGAGTGTCGCAGCTCCCGGAGTGCTGAGCGTGGGACGACAACGGCAACGCAAGCTCAACTCGCCACCTAAATGAGCAGCCGCCCAGGCGTGGAGAGCCCTGCGCTGCTCAGCCCCCTCTTTGGAGCATGTAATCCCAGGTTTGGAAAACGGCACTTGGCTGCATATTGGCAAGAAATCCTGCAGCTGAGACACTCCTCTCCAAATGTCGAGCATCTTTATTTATCCAAATCTCTCCACGGTGTTTGTTTAAAGGGGAGCGCTAGAGAGTAAACGAACTCTTACAGTGAGCATATGGGTGGCTATAATTGCTGAGGTTTGTTTTTTCTCATATTTGCTAACCGGCTATATATAAAGTTGTGTTTCTATTTTATAGATTTCACACCCTGAAGGCTGCTAATTTTTCCATGCATATGATTTTCACATGAATGGATGAAAATACAAAAATACTCTTCTTCCCTCTCAAATTGTCAAATTGTCCCAACCTCGCGCCTAGCAGCAACTAGTGGGGGGAAGGAGGACTGCTGTCATTGTGGCTGGCTGCCCGCTCCCCTGGGAGTGCCACTGGGCCTCCCCACTCAGGAACTGGCAGAGTCACCTTCCAAAAACCGTCGGCCCTGGAACCCGAGGCACAGTGCACTCGACGCCTGCCTCACGGATCCGTTTGGCCAGCCTTCACTTGGAGAATTTTGAATGATGGAAACTGCATGTGCCTCTGAATTAGGCGGGAAATACCAATGGCAGAAGATCTTAAGGAAAACAAATACTTTGGTTTGGCCACTAGTTCGATGTCCTCTCACCAAACCACCACCCTCGTTCGTGCGCCCCCTGGAGGAGAAGTGCGGAAGCCACAAATGGCCAGAAAGGGACAAGGGTCCTTCTCCCCACCCCTGCCTCCTTATTTTCAAAGGAGTAATGGAGGCCTATGGAAGGGAGCAGTGGGGCAGGGTCGCACAGGAAGGGCATGATGATGCTGAGACCTCACGGTCCCCTGAACAGACTGGAACAGGGCTTTCTTGTGCCACCCTCCATAGGGTGTAGCTGGCAGAATTCCTTCCACTTTTTATCCATATACATAGAGTATGAGGCAGTAATACAGTAAATGCTCTGATGTTTAAAACTGTACTACAAGGGGCCGGCCAAATAGCTCAGCAGATTAAAGCGCCTGCTTAGGCAGACGCAGGGGCTAGGGGTTCGATCCCCAGCATGCCATGCTGGCCCTGCCCCTGGCATGTGCTGAGATGGTGATTGAGACTGGACATGGTGGCGCGCACTTGTGACCCCAGCTCTTGGGAGGCTGAAAACAGGAGAATCACTACACAGTCCGATCTGTGTAGTGAGACCCTGTAGACCCTGTAGACCCTGTACTAAATATAAATAATAAAACAAAACAAAACTGCACTCTAGGACTGGGGAGATAGATTGGAGATCTAAGCCCATGCCTGGCAAGCACGAGGACCTGGGTTTGGTCCCGGTACTGCACGCCGTGCTGGCCCCTGAACTGGGCGCACCATGCTGTCCACTGAAACGGGATGTGGTGGCACACATCTGTAATCCCAGTGCTGGGGAGGCTGAGGCAGGAGGATCACTTATGAGTCCCAGCTGCATAGACCCTGTATCAAAGAAAACATTTTTAAAAATCTTTTTTAAACTGTACTACAGCGAATGCCATTGCCCCCCTGGCTTCTCGTGTTCCTTGCCGCTTTCTGCAGCAGCTTTGGAGTTTTCTTTCCTGAGTGTCTTTAGGAAACATCAAAAATACATGACTGTGGCCGCCAAGTGTCATCCCACAGAAAGGCAGGCTCACAAAAACATGACGCCATGTCCTCAGCCGTATTCAGCGAACCTGGCACCGTGCAACTTTGGGATCCTCCCCAAAGTCCCAGTGACCATGAAAGGGAAGCATTTTGAATCATTTCAGGACCTTGAAGCAGCCGGGAAGGCACAACTGAAGACACTGGCAAGATAATTGTGTTGAAGCCAAGGGGAGTGTCTTGAGGGGATCAGTGATAAATTTTATTACTGATAATTTTTTAATCTTTTATTTGGTACAGGGTCTCACTATGCAACTCAGACTTGCAGTGAGCCTCCTGTATCAGCTTCCCCGGTGCTGGGATTACAGGCATGCACCACGAAGCACTGATGGCTAGCACGGCTGCATGGCTTGCAGTACCTGGGATTGAGCCTGGGTCCTTGCATTTGCCAGGCAGGCGCTTAGCCTGCCAAGCTATCTCCCAGCCTAAAATTCTTTAAATGTAAAACATTCGTCATATTTTTGATCACCCTGTGTATGAATTGGGCAGGAGCCAAGGTTGGGTGTCACAGGTATGAGAGAGGACACCATCTTTGTATCTATGAGATGTGCCCCAGGAAGGACTCTCACTGGCCCCTAGGGTGACGGGCCAGCAGGAAAGAGGCCAGGGCTCCCGGAGCTGCCCCCAGGGGGAGCATACAGGTGTTCCCTGGGGGAATCTCAGCCCTTCCTACTCTAGTGCCTGAGGCATTCACAGTCACCACAGCAAAAGGGAGGTCACTGGCTGTGCGGCAGACCCAGGTCTCATCTCCACTCCCTGGCTGGCCTTGACAGGTGACCTGGGTGCTGGGTCTGCAGGCAGACTCACAGGCGTCTGTCTCCCTACCTACTCCCCTAACAAAGCAGAAATGTGCCTGGGCCTGGGCCCTAGAAGCAGAGCTAAGCCTGCTGTGTCTGTGCCAGTGGAGGCTAGAAGGAGAAAACAGGGAAAGGGAGAGCGGGCAGGGCAGGGGCAACACTGTGCTAGTCATGTCTGCCGGGAAGGTGCTTTCTGGAGAGGACTGCAGAGCCGGGCCTGCAAAGGCAAGAGGGGCTCGAGCCAGGATAACATGATGGACGGGGTCTGGCCAGAGATAGCCATGAGGCACAGGCCCCAGGGTAGGACACGGCTTGGAAGGGATCAGAGATGGAGAGTGCAGGAGAAAGAGGAGGCGACAGGAGGCCAGAGCCACTGGTACGGCACAGGCCTCAGCCTTGGCTGGCTCTCGCTCAGCTGGGTCACCAGTGGCAAGTCCAGAGCAGCTGTGACAGACCTTCAACATGCACAGCTATTTTTATTTCCGGTTTCCTGCCAGCACCCGAGGCCACAGGGTGGAGTGTCAGGCTCCAGGCAGCAGTTGGACCTGCGTGTCACTTGTCCTTCAAGCTGGCCCTGAAGGTCCCCTTCGCTGGCAGGTGCAGCCACGTGGCGTTCTGCACTCTTTCTCCTGTCCTTTGATTCCCTGTCACCAACAGAAGCCTCTGTCCCCTGCAGAATTCCAGCTTCCCGTGACTGAACCTGACATCAACAACAGGCTGGAGTCGCTGTGCCTCAGTATGACCGAGCACGCCCTGGGAGGTGAGTGTCCTGTTCGCATTGTCGTCCTCTCCGTGCTGTCTGCTGTCTGCACCCTGGTGGCAGCGCAGGAATGGGAAGGGGACACGGCAGGCTGGCAGGGACAGAACAGGCTGCCTTGGAGGGTCCTGCATCCCACCAGCCCTCTGCCTGGCTCTCCGCACTGGTCCCCTCTTGGGGGCAAATGGGACCTAGAGACCAGGGTCACAAAGCTGTCCTCTTGAGCCCAAAGCTCTTCCCCCAGTGGTCATAGCCAATGCAGAGAGCTGGAGTGGCTTTCAGTGGGAGCATCTGCCACAGTACTGAACGCTTTCCTGCTGGGGTCTGGGTCCCCAAGGCCCATCCAGGCATATCCCAGCATGCTCTAAAAACAGTTATGAAACAAAGACCCCTGTTTGTTTTGCCAACTCCCTGTTGTAAGCGGCTTGCATGATGCCTAGAGTCCCAAGAAGCCTGCACTGTCCCTCCCCGTGTCACAGGCACAGGTGAGATGCGCCTGTTCCTAGCCAAGCCAGGAGCATGGCTGGCAGCACCAGACCGGAGGCTCTGTGGCCATCGTGGGAGCCCTCAGCGCCTCTAGGTCCTAAGCCTGCACCTTTCCCTGGCTACGTATTTGTGGATAGGAAGCAGGCACGTGCCAGGAGAGAGGTCTTCCCCAGCCACCAGTCTCTGAGTCATAGAGCCCAGGGCGGACTTGCAAGCCCTCTCCAGTCCACTCATGAGTCCCCACCCCCAAGACAGGCTGTCGCCCACCTAGGCCGAGCCCTGTGCCCTCTGGCAGGGCTAAGCCACGGCTGCTGTCGTCAGCTTCTGCTGCAGACAGCTCTGTCCCTCAGACCTGGAGGTCTTTGACTTTTAGTCCCCGCAAACACAATCTTGTCCTGATACCAAATATGAAATAGATAAATGTTCTGTGTGAAGCAGAGGAGAGGTCTGGGGTGACAGCCCCAACTTGACCTCAGAACCAAGAGGGGCCAGGGCCCTCAGGATGTCACAGGCTTCATCACAGGGCTTCAGACCAGAGAAAAGACCCAGCCTCTTCTGTGGCTTCCCTGGGGTTACTGGGAACCCCATTTGCAAACCATTGCTCTCCCCCTGGCCATTCAGATCCTAGAAGTTTTGCAGCTTCCTTGGCCCACGCATGACCATAGTGACTGCCACTGGCTCTGCCCCTCTGCCTTACCAAGCCGGCGGGGTCACAGCCCCCATGCATCCCGGAAAGCCACCCCAGGCCCATGCACATGTGGGTAGGGACTGAAGACATCTAGTCAGCTGCAGAGAGGAAGAGCCATCAGCCTTAGAGAAGAAAGACACGCTCATCCGGCCTCCATGAGGAAGCGCTCTGGAAACGTGACTCAGTGCACCAGACTGGGCATGCAAGGCCACAGTGTCTGAACCCACTGCCATGAAATGCCCAGCCTAGGTCAGTCTGCGTACAGGGACAGGGCACCAATTGGTGTCGCAGGGGCCAGGGCAGTGGGGCTCAGGGAGGGAAACAGGTCACTTTTGGGGGCGATGAGGATGCTCTGCAGTCGGCACTGCTGGTCACGCGACTTTGTGACTACACCAAAGCCATGAGGAGACTTACAGTCTGCAATTTGGTCAACTTAAGCTTTTCAAAGGAAGCGAATCCATGCAGTGGGTATGAGTTAGGGCAGCAGCTGAGAGTCCCCACTCTGCCTCCTGCTGGAGTCCTGTCCCCGGAGAGGCTCTGTGGAGTCAGCAGGACCGTGGCCCTTGTCCTTGCACTTGATGGAGCTCTGATACTTGGCATTTTGAAAGCTCTTAGCAAACTGCTAAGTCCTAACATTACCATTATTGGTAGCAAGAATGCCAAATGCTCTTTATAAAGGAGGTCTTCCTGGAAAAGGCTTCATTTTTTTTTTAACCTGCTCTGCTATTTTTGCAGAATGCCTCTCTGAACGGATAGGGGTTTGCTCATATTTTCATCTTGTTAATCTCCTAAGCCTTTTTATTGCTGTGTTTTTTTCTCAGTAATCCCCTCTGTTGGGAAGCTGTATAAGCAGTTTCCTGAGCAGAGGATGCAAATTAAGCTCAGGGTGGCACGGCTGGAACCATGACCACTGGCCGGCCCACGCCACTGTGCACGGAGAAAGGCCTCGAGGAGACAGCATGCCGACGGGTCATTTTACAGAAAGACACATGCCTGGGGCAGGAAAACAAAGTAAAGGCGGGTGTCAGCCTGCAACTCAGGAACAGAAAAAGGGGATGTTGAGGTCTTGTGGCATCACATCCCAGGACGGCCACTCTAGGAGAGCCCCGCAGGTCCTGTGTGCCTGTGATTCACAGCTCCCCTCAGCCTCTTGCAGTAACTGCTGCCCTCCCGGTGCTTTCCTTTCCCATCTCCTCTCCTCTCCCCTCCAGCAGAACCACGGAGGACCCCCGGGTGTGGGTGGCCTCTGCCCTGTTGGTTGGCATATCTGTCTTCAAGGCAACCATGAAGCATTGTTGCGTTTGCTCCTGCTTAGTGCACTTGGGTATCCAGAACGGTGAAATGCCAAGTGTGGCCCGTGCTTCCTCCAGCAGGAGGCCCTGCAGGGGCAGAGAGCCTCTTGCAGCCGTCGAGAGTCATGCATACAGAGCTACACCTGTTCTCTGAGGCTCTGGGGCTCATGCTTCACCTTGCTGTCTCTTCTCACCCCTACTTCCCCCGTACTTGGGACTTACTAGCTCCTAGGAGCTGGTGCCTTGTGTAAATTCCTTTATTACACTGAGCTGGCATTGGCTGAGAACGTGTAGCACCACCTGTGAGGGTCCCACCGGAGCGCCGCCCCTGGAGCTGCCAGCG